GCGCAGATTGATGCTCATGTTGTTGATCACTGGATTGTCTGGTCCAGGCTCGATTATTTACAGACCGCCGCCATATAGCTGGAATATTGCTGAGTGCGGCGTAAAACTTAACTCAATCACTCACTCATGCACAGGCCATAAAGACCGTATCACCAGCTTCTGTCGATATTTGGAGTAGTCTCCCCTCACACGGATCACATCAGGTGGAGATCAGACACCTTACCGTCAACTGGGGTATATGTTGCCACTCCTCGTGGGTCAGGTCATGAAGTAAGGTCAGGTCCGTGGTGTACTGTCTCTTGCTATTACTCTACGTCCCAATCAATGCAATAAGTGCTCCCTATGTCATGACACACCCACCATCATATGGCACAGTTCCCTGCATGTTTCGTTGTGGATAAGCTGCATCCCTGTTTCTCCAGACACGGGTTCTACCATCAGTATGGTACATTGCATCCTACATGGCAGATAAGGCGTCTACCATTCTGCAGGAGCGCGTGACAATACACAATACACAGAATGCAAAATGGAGGACTGTACGTACCGCATGGCTTGGCAAGTTCACTTCGAGTTAGGCGGTGCAATACTTCAGTGAATGGTACTCTTATATTCCGACACTTTAACCGGCGATAAAGTCGCAGTTTGTTTTCGCCGTCTCCACGTCTACTGTTTTCTTGACTTAATGAAGAATGCCATTTCTGTTTACAATTCTGCAAAATGTCCTGGTCCAAAGTTCTGATATGATAATTGTAAATATGTTCAATAGGAAGGAAATGTTCTGATCCTAACTTTCTGCACTCGTGAAGATAAGGGTGAGAATTGGTCTTCAGTAACCAATGCTTGTCGTGTGGTCATGCTCGCTGACTTGGTTGACACATGTCATCGTATCCCAGTTGCGTAGATCGATGCACATGCTGTTGATCACAAGCCATATAGCTTGAAAACTGCTGAGTGCGGCGTTAAACAACAACCAACCAACCAACCTAACTTTATAACTTCCCAGATCCCAAGGCGGAACTGTGTATTGCCATCAACCCATGTGTTAGTCTTGTAATCATGGAATTCGGCTTGCACTGGGTGTAAAGGAACTGTTTGTCGAACCATCTGTGGACGTCATGGTCTTGTTGATATTCTTCATAGAAACCATGATTTTTACCTTCCTCCATCGGATCTGAGACTATTGACAGTGATCCTGCGAAGATCTCAGTTTCAGTAGCACCGATGGCAGCAAGTCCTAAGGAAGTCTGGGTAACGTTTCTTCCTGGTCGGGTCAGGTGTGTGCTACACCTGTTCTCTAAGAGAGAACGGACTTTCTGTGCAATCTGGTTTTCTGGTGGGTGGTTGTGCGGAAACTGGTTCTGACCAAACTGACCTACTTTCCCAGCAGACACCTTGTCCGTACCTGAAGCCACCCGATGGGACTTTTTAACCAACCTTCTGCAAGGTATGCACCTTTCTTAGGATTTGCTATGGTTTAAAGCAAAAGCCGCATCATAAACATTTCATATCAATACATAATATAAGTACCGGAGACGCAAACAAAGAGCATATATAACAAAATATGTGCCTTTTATTTTATATTACTGTACGTTACCCGTCTCATCTTCCGTTCACACTACACCCTGATTTGCTGTGAACCCACTGGAGAGGCCACAATCAAAACAAATACAGTTAATCTGTCTTAACACCGTTGGCGTAAACAAGCAGTGAGTGGGACTTCTCACCTGTGTGGGGAGTCTGTCTCGCAGTCCATCAACCCCGTTATTCCCCCTTTCGCCCAGCCAGCCTTTCCTGCAATGTTAAAGCCCTAAATATAACAAGTCTAAATTTTCCCAGGTTCAGTATTTCCCTTCTCACTTGGACTACTTTTCAGTTTAAAAGGAATTGTTTGTTTCTATCAATATTGCATACCTTCAGAGACTAAGCGTTAGTCTACTGTGTGTGTCACTGCCCTACAACAACATCTTCTGTAGCTATTGTTCCAAGACTCCATTTTTATGTGACGCCAATCTCGTTGTTTATTCCCAGTCCGTTGTACATTGAATGTCAACCATCCGCCCTGTGCAGCTACGTCTTTCATTGATTACCGTTGTTTTTAAATATTTATTGACAATGCAAATGTTGGTCTTGCTATGGTTAGTCTTGGTGCGTGGCGGTGAGTAGCCCAATCGTTAAAGCATTCGCTCGTCACGCCGAAGACCCGGGTTCGATTCCCCACATAGGTACAATGTGTGAAGCCCATTTCTAGTGTACCCCGCCGTGATATTGCTGGAATATTGCTAAAAAGCGGCGTAAAACCATACTCACTCACACGTCACTTCTCTTGGTGCCCCAACCACTTACACTTTGTGCTGACCTGGCACATAATTGTCATATATCTATCGGTAAAGCAAACCTGTTTATACCGTACGCCATGCTGTCACTTCCGGCCGAGAACCGTACGGTACACAAACCTGAGATATGCGCCTATAATCAGCAACGTTACGTGTGTTTGCAAAGCCCATGCAACATGCTCGTTGTTTGTGACAATCTCATTTCCTCTGAACTGGATGGGCGGACAGAATTTAAATATTAATGAATTTTGAATTTAGATAATTCTTGAAATAAAACGCTCTGACATGTTCGAGAGTGTAGTGAAAACACACTTTCTTTGAGTCATTAGAAATCTAGTTTTGTTTATTATTGTTATCCGTTTGAGGAGACGTAAAATCTCTGTTCCTAGCTCGGCTCTCGCCGCACCCCTAGCAAAAGTGATCTCAGCCGGTCCGACGTGAGCTTGTTTGTAGTTGTTGCACAAATGATCGTCAATCATCTATCCTGCGTGCATGTCCGGACGCTCTCTCATTACCCGAGTAATAATACGTGGACAAGGGCTTGTCAGCACGGAGACTGTCTTGGAGCCATCGTGAAGTCACTTGTGTTATAGATTCCCTTCTCTTAATAGCTCTCACCATTACAGAGTGCCATTCGTCCCCCAAGTGAACCATTCTGGCAATAATGTGTCATGTCTTATTCATGTTATTGAAGTTGTCAGTAGACCATCTCAATGTCTCGTGCTGGAGTGGGTGGGAGTGAACTCCTTCAGATCAAGCACTTTTATATATAGAGCTTCTTCTGTACAGGGTACTGTGGTACTCCCTGATATATGATATAACTCGTGCTGGAGTGGGTGGGAGTGAACTCCTCCAGATCAAGCACTGTTATATGTAGAGCCTCTTCTGTACAGGGTACTGTGGTGCTCCCTGATATATGATATCTCGTGCTGTGGGAGGAACTCCTCCAGATCAAGCACTGTTATAGCCTCTTCTGTGTGGTGCTCCCTGATATATGATATAACTCGTGCTGGAGTGGGTGGGAGTGAACTCCTCCAGATCAAGCACTGTTATATGTAGAGCCTCTTCTGTACAGGGTACTGTGGTGCTCCCTGATATATGATATAACTCGTGCTGGAGTGGGTGGGAGTGAACTCCTCCAGATCAAGCACTGTTATATGTAGAGCCTCTTCTGTACAGGGTACTGTGGTGCTCCCTGATATATGATATAACTCGTGCTGGAGTGGGTGGGAGTGAACTCCTCCAGATCAAGCACTGTTATATGTAGAGCCTCTTCTGTACAGGGTACTGTGGTGCTCCCTGATATATGATATAACTCGTGCTGGAGTGGGTGGGAGTGAACTCCTCCAGATCAAGCACTGTTATATCAAGCACTGTTATATGTAGAGCCTCTTCTGTACAGGGTACTGTGGTGCTCCCTGATATATGATATAACTCGTGCTGGAGTGGGTGGGAGTGAACCCCTCCAGATCAAGCACTGTTATGTGTAGAGCCTCTTCTGTACAGGGTACTGTGGTGCTCCCTGATATATGATATACGGCCACTGGGGCCCATATACATTAACTGTACAACACATATAACACATATAACTCCAAATGGGTTTATGATCAATCATTCATTTCAACGCAGAGTGTAATGAAAACATCAGACCAACCGCTTGTGTCCAAAATAAAAAAGTTTCTTAACGAACTATAATCATTTTGTTTTGATTTTCCGAGTGAAGTTTTACGAGAGTAACGTAACAGTAGTACTGTTGCAGGAACAGCCTCAAGGGCGTGAAGCACGTGCAATTGTGACGTCACATCAACCATAGCCAATCGATGTATTGACACGGAACATGAGACAACGAAATTCACCTTTGACATCAAGTCCATTTTTTTCAGAGTTTATGACTTTTTAAAGGTAACAGTGAAAGGTGTCCCCTTAAATATATGCCCTGTGTAAATTTGTTAAACGCACTGCATGTGCAGTTGTGTTGTCTGAAAGACAATCAAAATATTTATATAGACAACCGAGTCAGGGGGTCGTATCAAAATCTCCACCTTTGAAAGTTGACAAACTTAACTGTTTTCAGAAAGAGTTGGTAAGAAATGCTATTAGAAGACACTATAGCAAACATTCCTTTCCTTAGGCATTTTGCACACATGAATACAGAACATTCGTTGACTATATCCAAATATCAGTTATGGAATTGTTTGCATACATTTGGTTTTCGTTACAAAAAGGCGGGTGCTGTGTGAAAGAGCTGACATCATGCGATTATGCAACACATACTTACGCATTATTAGACAAAAACTGCAAGCACACAATGGGTAGATAGCTCCTCAACAGAAGGAGGTCGATAGGTTGAAATCTCAATGAATCGCTCGAGTTGGCTGAATGTCAACAGGGGTGAAATGAGAGAGAAGGTCTCAGTCAATCGGTATGTACGAAACACGAAGGTTTGTTACGTTTAACCCAATACAATACGTTATTTGCTTATTACTTAATAACACCTAACAACTTGTTGTAGGTAGTTCTTCACTTTTCGCAAATTAACTCCCAAATATCGATGAAACTTCTTAAAACTCAGTCATTAACTACTTCTTAAGATCTTGCATACTAAGTTGACCAGCCTCACTCACTCCAAACCAAAGCACGATGTATACATGCTATGTTTTGATATAGGACGCCAGGTGACTTCAGTACAGAGCCAGGGAGAATGACCGTTTGGTTACACTGAAATCCTGTCCAGACACGTCATCCTGTGTGACCCAGAGATCTGCTGAGGAGTGAGACACCACGATTCTGGCAAGTCAGTAAGGTGTTTTCAAAGTAATGACAACAGTAGAAAGGGAATGGCTTAGAGCAAGGGACACAATGAAATGGCCGTGACACATACTCCGACTATCATATCGTCTGACACGTATTCCCGCCATCATATCGCCTGACACATACTCCCACCATCATATTGCCTGACACATACTCCCACCACCATATTGCCGGACACATACTCCCACCATCATATCGCCTGACACATAATCCCACCATCATATCGCCTGACACATACTCCCACGATCATATCGCCTGACACATACTCCCACCATCATATTGCCTGACACATACTCCCACCATCATATTGCCTGACACATACTCCCACCATCATATTGCCAGACACATACTCCCACCATCATATCGCCTGACACATACTCCTACCATCATATCGCCTGACACATACTCCCACCATCATTTTGCCTGACACATACTCCCAGTCATATCGCCTGACACATACTCCCACCATCATATTGCCTGACACATACTCCCACCATCATATTGCCTGACACATACTCCCACCATCATATCGCCTGACACATACTCCCACCATCATATTGCCTGACACATACTCCCACCACCATATTGCCTGACACATACTCCACCATCATATTGCCTGACACATACTCCCACCATCATATTGCCTGACACATACTCCCACCATCATATCGCCTGACACATACTCCCACCATCATATTGCCTGACACATACTCCCACCATCATATTGCCTGACACATACTCCCACCATCATATTGCCTGACACATACTCCCACCATCATATTGCCTGACACATACTCCCACCATCATATTGCCTGACACATACTCCCACCATCATATCGCCTGACACATACTCCCCCACCATCATATCCCACCATCATATTGCCTGACACATACTCCCACCATCATATTGCCTGACACATACTCCCACCATCATATTGCCTGACACATACTCCCACCATCATATCGCCTGACACATACTCCCACCATCATATTGCCTGACACATACTCCCACCATCATATCGCCTGACACATACTCCCACCATCATATCGCCTGACACATACTCCCACCATCATATTGCCTGACACATACTCCCACCATCATATCGCCTGGACACATACTCCCACCATCATATGCCTGACACATACTCCCACCATCACATACTCCCACCATCATCCCACCATCATATCGCCTGACACATACTCCCACCATCATATTGCCTGACACATACTCCCACCATCATATCGCCTGACACATACTCCCACCATCATATTGCCTGACACATACTCCCACCATCATATCGCCTGACACATACTCCCACCATCATATTGCCTGACACATACTCCCACCATCATATTGCCTGACACATACTCCCACCATCATATTGCCTGACACATACTCCCACCATCATATTGCCTGACACATACTCCACCACATACTCCCACCATCATATTGCCTGACACATATTCCCACCATCATATCGCCTGACACATATTCCCACCATCGTATTGCCTGACACATACTCCCACCATCGTATTGCCTGACACATACTCCCACCAACATATCGCCTGACACATATTCCCACAATCATATCGCCTGACACATATTCCCACCATATATGACCCTGCCTTGACACTTACTCCATGAAAACAAAACAACATCGAGTCGTCTTGACGCTTGCTCCATCATCATAAAACAACATCGAGTCATCTTGACGCTTGCTCCATCATCATAAAACAACATCGAATCGTCTTGACGCTTGCTCCATCATCATTAAACAACATCGAGTCGTCTTGACGCTTGCTCCATCATCATAAAACAACATCGAGTCGTCTTGGCGCTTGCTCCATCATCATAAAACAACATCATGTCGTCTTGACGCTTGCTCCATCATCATAAAACAACATCGAGTCGTCTTGGCGCTTACTCCATCATAAAACAACATCATGTCGTCTTGGCGCTTGCTCCATAGCACAAAACAACATCATGTTGCCTTGACGCTTGCTCCATATCACAAAACAACATCATGTCGCCTTGACGCTTGCTCCATAGCACAAAACAACATCATTTGCCTTGACGCTTGCTCCATATCACAAAACAACATCATGTCGCCTTGACGCTTGCTCCATAGCACAAAACAACATCATGTTGCCTTGACGCTTGCTCCATATCACAAAACAACATCATGTCGCCTTGACGCTTGCCCCTTAGCACAAAACAACATCATGTTGCCTTGACGCTTCCTCCGTCATCACAAAACAACATCATGTCGCCTTGACGCTTGCTCCGTCATCACAAAATAACATGTTGCCTTGACACTTACTGTGTCAACGGGGCGGTGGGGTAGTCTAGTGGTTAAAGCGTTGACTCGTCACGCCGAAGACCCGGGTTCGAATCCCCACATGGGTACAATGAGTGAATCCCATTTCTGGTGTCCCCCGCCGTGATATTGCTGGAATATTGCTAAAAGCGGCGTAAAACCAAACTCAGTCAGTCAGTACTGTGTCAACACAAAACATCATTGTGCTCCGTCATCAAAACAACATCATGTCGCCTTGACGCTTCCTCCGTCATCACAAAACAACATCATGTCGCCTTGACGCTTGCTCTGTCATCACAAAACAACATCATCTTGCCTTGACGCTTACACCGTCATCACAAACAACATCATGTTGCCTTGACGCTTCCTCCGTCATCACAAAACAACCTGTTGCCTTGACGCTTCCTCCGTTATCACAAAACAACAACATGTTGCCTTGACACTTGCTCCGTCAACACCAAACAACATCATGTCGCCTTGACGCTTACACCGTCATCACAAACAACATCATGTTGCCTTGACGCTTACACCATCATCACAAACAACATCATGTTGCCTTCACGTTTACACCGTCATCACAAACAACATCATGTCGCCTTGACGCTTCCTCCGTTATCACAAAACAACATCATGTTGCCTTGACGCTTCTTCCGTCATCACAAAACAACATCATGTCACCTTGACGCTTGCTCCGTCATCACGAAAACAACATGTCGCCTTGACGCTTCCTCTGTCATCACAAACAACATCATGTCACCTTGACGCTTGCTCCGTTATCACAAAACAACATCATGTCGCCTTGACGCTTCCTCCGTCATCACAAAACAACATCATGTCGCCTTGACGCTTGCTCTGTCATCACAAAACAACATCTTGTCGCCTTGACGCTTACACCGTCATCACAAAACAACATCATCTTGCCTTGACGCTTACACCGTCATCACAAACAACATCATGTCGCCTTGACGCTTCCTCCGTCATCACAAAACAACCTGTTGCCTTGACGCTTGCTCCGTTATCACAAAACAACATCATGTCGCCTTGACGCTTGTTCCATCATCACAAAACAACATCATGTTGCCTTGACGCTTACACCGTTATCACAAAACAACAACATGTTGCCTTGACACTTGCTCCGTCAACACCAAACAACATCATGTCGCCTTGACGCTTACACCGTCATCACAAACAACATCATGTTGCCTTGACGTCATCCATCATCACAAACAACATCATGTTGCCTTGACGCGTTACACCATCATCACAAACAACATCATGTTGCCTTCGCTTCCTCCGTTATCACAAAACAACATCATGTTTCCGCGCTTCTTCCGTCATCACAAAACAACATCATGTCACCTTGACGCTTGTCTCGTCATCACAAAACAACATGTCGCCTTGACGCTTCCTCCGTTATCACAAAACAACATCATGTTGCCTTGACGCTTCTTCCGTCATCACAAAACAACATCATGTCACCTTGACGCTTCCTCCCAAAACAACATCATGTTGCCTTGACGCATCTCCAAAAACAAAACAACATGTCGCCTTGATGCTTCCTCCGTCATCACAAAACAACATCATGGCACCTTGACGCTTGCTCCATTATCACAAAACAACATCATGTCGCCTTGACGCTTCCTCCGTCATCACAAAACAACATCATGTTGCCTTGACGCTTGCTCCATGATCACAAAACAACATCATGTCGCCTTGACGCTTCCTCTGTCATCACAAAACAACATCATGTCGCCTTGATGCTTGCTCCATGATCACAAAACAACATCATGTCGCCTTGACGCTTCCTCCGTCATCACAAAACAACATCATGTCGCCTTGACGCTTGCTCCATGATCACAAAACAACATCATGTCGCCTTGACGCTTCCTCCGTCATCACAAAACAACATCATGTCGCCTTGACGCTTGCTCCATGATCAAAAAACAACATCATGTCACCTTGACGCTTCCTCCGTCATCACAAAACAACATCATGTCGCCTTGACGCTTGCTCCATGATCACAAAACAACATCATGTCGCCTTGACGCTTTCTCCATGATCACAAAATCAACATCATGTCGCCTTGACGCTTCCTCCATCATCACAAAACAACATCATGTCGCCTTGACGCTTGCTCCATGATCACAAAACAACATCATGTCGCCTTGACGCTTCCTCCATCATCACAAAACAACATCATGTCGCCTTGACGCTTGCTCCATGAAAACAATTGCTCCATGATCACAAAACAACATCATGTCGCCTTGACGCTTGCTCCGTCATCACAAAAACAACATGTCGCCTTGACGCTGGTTCCATCATCACAAAACAACATCATGTCGCCTTGACGCTTCCTCCGTCATCACAAAATCACATCTTGTTGCCTTGACGTTTACACCGTCATCACAAAACGGCATCATATCGCCATGACGCTTTGTCCCTTCATGACTTCTGTAGAGATACGTTTGACACAGTTTTTGTTCTCTTGGTTCATGTAAACCCAGAATTATATTTACAATGACGCACATTGCAAGGGATAGTTACTCACAAGCCTACCACCAAGGTGTTTTGCATTGTCATACGTAAGCATAGCTACAGATCACAATGTTCTATCTAAAATTGAAGCCACAATCTCAAAACAAGATACAAGGATCAGAAAATCAATTTCT